GCCCGAGAAATTGGACTCGGGGCACAGACCTGGGATCACGGGATTTTAGCCAAATTCATTCGTTTAGGCCTCCGAATAATTGATTTCTGTATTAATTATGTCAGGTTGAAAAAGTGTTGGACAGAAAATTAACAAATAAAAACTGCACCAAGGGCAATTTTGTCATTTGTCGCGACGGTGTCGGAATGGGCCGAAATCTGGCAGGTTGATTGGAAACGGCCCCAGAAATTGGAGTCGGCCCACAGACTCGGGATCACGTGATTTTAGCAAATTTCCTTCGTTTAGGCCTCCTAATAATTAATTTTCGTAATAATTACGTCAGGTTGAAGAAGTGTTGGACGGAAAATTAAAAAAGAAAAATCACACCAGGGGCAATTTTGTCATTTGTCACGGCAGTGTCGGAATGGGCCAAAATTTGGCAGGTTGATTGGAAACGGCACCAGAAATTGGACTCGGGGCACAGACATGGGATCACGGGATTTTAGCTAAATTCCTTCGTTTAGGCCTTTGAATGATTAATTTCTGTATTAATTATGTCAGGTTGAAGAGGTGTTGGATTGAAAAATAACAAAGAAAAATCGTACCAAGGGCAATTTCGTCATTTGTCGCAACGGTGTCGGATGGGCCGAAATTTGGTAGGTTGATTTGAAACGGCCCTAGAAATTGGACTCGGGGCACATACCTGGGATCACGAGATTTTAGCCAAATTCCTTCCTTTAGGCCTCTGAATAACTAATTTCCGTATTAATTATGTCAGGTTGAAGAAGTGTTGGACAGAAAAATAACAAAGAAAAATCGCACCAGGGGCAATTTCGTTATTTGTTACGATGGTGTCGGAATGGACCGAAATTTGGCAGGTTGATTGGAAACGGCCCCAGAAATTGGACTCGAGGCATATACTCGGGATCACGTGATTTTAGCCAAATTCCTTCGTTTAGGCCACCGAATAATTAATTTTCGTATTAATTATGTCAGGCTGAAGAAGTGTTAACTGCACCAGGGGCAATTTTGTCATTTGTCACGACGGCGTTGAAATGGGCCGAAATTTGGCAAGTTGATTGGGAACGGCCACAGAAATTGGAGTCGGGGCACAGACCCGGGATCACGGGATTTTAACCAAATTCCTTCGTTTAGGCCTCCGAATAATTAATTTCCGTAATAATTATGTCAGGTTGAAGAAATGTTGGACAGAAAATTAAAAAAGAAAAACCACACCAGGGGCAATTTCGTCATTTGTCGCGACGGTGTCGGAATGAGCCGAAATTTGGCAGGTTGATTGGAAACGGCACCAGAAATTGGACTCGAGGCACAGACCGGGGATCATGGGATTTTAGTCGAATTCCTTCGTTTAGGCCTCCAAATAATTAATTTTTTTTATTAATTATGTCAGGTTGAAGATGTGTTGGACAGAAAATTAACAGCGCAAAATCGCCCTAGGGGCAATTTTATCATTTGTCACGACGGTGTCGGAATGGCCCGAAATTTGGCAGGTTGATTTGGCCCGAAAAATTGACCCTGGTGCATTTTGCGTTGTTAATTTTCTATCCCACACATCTTCAACCTGACATAGTTAATACGGATATTAATTATTCGGAGGCCTAAACATAGGAATTTAGTTAAAATCTTGTGATCCCGAGTCTGTGCCCCGAGTTCAATTTCTGGGGCCGTTTCCAATCAACCTGCCAAATTTCGGCCGATTCCGACACCGTCGCGACAAATGACGTAACTGACCCTGGAGCGATTTTTCTTCGTTAATTTTCTATCCAACACTTCTTGAACCTGACATAATTAATATGGAAATTCATTATTTGGAGGCCTAAACGAAGGAATTTGGCTAAAATCCCGTGATCCCGGGTCTGTGCCCCGAGTCCAATTTCTGGGGCCATTTCCAATCAACCTGCCAAATTTCGACCCATTCCGATACTGTCGCGACAAATGACAAAATTTCCCCTGGTGCTATTTTCTTTGTTAATTTTCTGTCCAACACTTCTTAAGCCTGACATAAGTAATACGGAAATTAATTATTCAGAGGCCTAAATGAATGAATTTGGGTAAAATCCCGTGATCCCGGATCTGTGCCCCGACTCCAATTCTGGGGCCGTTTCCAATCAACCAGCTAAATTTCGGCCCATTTCGACACCGTCGTAATAAATGACGAAATTATCCCTAGTGCGGTTTTGCGTTGTTAATTTTCTGTCCAACCCATCTTCAATCTGACATTATTAATACGGAAATCAATTATTCGGGGGCCTAAACGAAGGAAGTTGGCTAAAATCTCGTGATCCCGGGGTCTTTGCACCGAGTCCAATTTCTGGCGCTGTTTCCAATCAAACTGCAAAATTTCAGCCCATTCCGACACCGTCGCGAGAAATGACGAAATTGCCCCTGGTGCGGTCATGCGTTGTTAATTTTCGGTCCAACACTTCTTCAGCCTGACATAATTAATACAAAAATTAATTATTCGGAGGCCTAAACGAAGGAATTTGGCTAAAATCCCATGATCCCGGGTCTATGCCCCGACTCCAATTTCTGGGGCCGTTTCCAATCAACCTGTCAAATTTCGGCCCATTTCGAAACCGTCGCGACAAATGACGAAATTGCCCCTAGTCCGATTTTACGTTGTTAATTTTCCGTCCAACACATCTTCAAGCTGACATAATTAATACGAAAATTAATTATTCGGAGGCCTAAATGAAGGAACTTGGCTAAAATCCCGTGATCTCAGGTCTGTGTCCCGAGTCCAATTTCTGGGGCCGTTTCCCATCAACCTGCTAAATTTCGTCCCATTCCGACATCGTCGCGACAAGTGACAAAATTGACCCTGGTGCTGTTTTGCGTTGTTAATTTTCTATCCCACACATCTTCAACCTGACATAGTTAATACGGATATTAATTATTCGGAGGCCTAAACGTAGGAATTTGGCTAAAATCTCGTGATCCCGAGTCCAATTTTAGGTGCCATTTTCAATCAACCTACCAAATTTTAGCCCATTCTGACACCGTCGCGACAAATGACAAAATTGCCCCTGGTACGGTTGTTCTTTGTTAATTTACTATCCCACACATCTTCAACCTGACATAGTTAATACGGATATTAATTATTCGGAGGCCTAAACGTAGGAATTTAGCTAAAATCTCATGATCCCGAGTCTATGCCCCAAGTCCAATTTCTAGGGCCGTTTCCAATCAACCTGCCAAATTTCAGCCCATTCTGACACCGTCGCGACAAATGACGAAATTGCCCCTGGTGCGATTTTTCTTTGTTAATTTTCTGTCCAAAACATCTTCAACCTGACATAATTAACACGGAAATTAATTATTCGGGGGCCTAAACAAAGGAATTTGGCTAAAATCCCATGATCCCGGGTTTATACCCCGACTCCAATTTCTCTGGCCGTTTCCAATCAACCTGCCAAATTTAGACCGTCGCGACAAATGATGAAATTTCTCCTCGAGCGATTTTTCTTTATTAATTTTCTGTCCAACACTTCTTCAAACTCCAAAGCTAGTTGTCCTATATCAGTCTCAGGACTCTGTCCCGATTCCAATTTCTTGGGTCGTTTCCAATAAACCTACCAAATTTCGGCCCATTCCGACACCGTCATGACAAATGACGAAATTTCCCCTGGAGCTATTTTTTTTAGTTAATTTTCTGTCCAACATTTCTTAAACCTGACATAAGTAATATGGAAATTAATTATTCGGAGGCCTAAAGGAAGGAATTTGGCTAAAATCCCGCGATCTCGAGTCTGTGCAACGACTCCAATTTCTGGAGCCGTTTCCAATCAACCTGCCAAATTCCGGCCCATTCCGACACCGTCGCAACAAATGAAGAGATTATCCCTTGCACGATTTTGCGTTGTTAGTTTTCTGTCCAACACATCTTCAACCTGACATAATTAATACGAAAATTAATTATTTGGAGGCCTAAACTCTTCAACCTAATATATTTAATACGAAAATTAATTATTCGGAGGCCTAAACGAAGGAATTTGGCTAAAATCCTGTGATCTCGGGTTTATGCCCCGAGTCCAATTTCTCGAGCCGTTACCAATGAACCTGCCAAATTTCAACCCATTCCGACACCATCGCGACAAATGACGAAATTGCCCCTGGTGAGGTTTTTCTTTGTTAATTTTCCGTCCAACACTTCTTCAGCCTAACATAATTAATACGAAAATTAGTTATTCGGAGGCCTAAACAAAGGAATTTGGCTAAAATCTCGTTATCCCGAGTCTGTGCCCTGAGTCCAATTTCTGGGGCCGTTTCCAAACAACCTGCCAAATTTCAGCCCATTCTGACACCGTCGCGACGAATGATGAAATTGCCCCTGGTACGATTTTGCATTGTTAATTTTCTGTCCAACACTTCTTCAACCTGACATAATTAATAAGAAAATTTATTATTCGGAGGCCTAAACGAAGGAATTTGACGAAAATCTCGTGATCACGGGTCTGTACCCCGACTCCAATTTCTCGGGCCGTTTCCAATCAACCTGCCAAATTTCGGCCCATTCCGACACCGTCGCGACAAATGACGAAATTGCCCTTGGTTCGATTTTTCTTTGTTAATTTTCTGTCCAACACATCTTCAACCTGACATAATTAATACGGAAATTAAGGGTCTGTTCTCTTTGTGTTTCAGTTTTGTATTTTGAGTTTTAGATTCATTTTGAGTTTTGTGTTTTAAGTGCCTGTTTTGAAATTGTTGAAAATGCGTTCTTTTTGTCATTTTGAAAAACTGTTTCTCAAAACATAAAATGGAAAACGCGTTTACTTTGAAATTTTGAGAATATTTTTTTATAATTATTTTTTTTTTTTAAACTCAGACTTTATTCATACCCTCAATTGTAGTTTAGGCTCCTCAATTAAATGTAAATTGCAATTCCATATGCCCAAATTTCATCTTTTCGCCCAATCAGTGTTTTTCCAGTATATGCACCTTCATTGCAAATGTAAACTGTACATATTTGTTTCCAGATATAAAAAACGCAACCTAAATTAAATTCAAAAGGCAATTATATTTTCTTGTAAAGGCAATCATATAAACATTCTGACCAACAAAACTACCATAGTACATTGACATAATTAATGGACTAGGTGTTGCATACAAAGCAATGGGAAATATTCCAAGTCTAATGACAATGGAATTACAAAATTAATTAGCTCAGCCACCAGCAATTCAAAGATTAAATCCACCAGTATCATCACCATCCTTAGAACCCCACTTTTGTGAGCCACGGTCTGAATCTTGCCTGTCATTTCCTCTACCACCTTGGCCGTGCCCACGTCCACGTCTGGGTGCTCCACTTGGATGCCTGTCCTGGTCGCCACCATTTCTATAATCACCTCTACCTATAACCAAACATATTTAGATAGATTAAAACATGGAAGGACAATATTAGTGATAAATCAGTACAACAAAACAAAGATAATACTTGGCAAAACTGAAACTGGAAATAAAACCCGAGAATCTTTCAACAACTGTAGGCACCATGCCACATTTTATAAACCACAACTCTAGCACTCTCTCTCAACCTCTCCACCACATGACCTCCAACCCCATTCCTTAAACACTCCTGCCTTCTCGGCCACTCTTCACGTCACAAAACACAGGCCTTGAGCCTCTCTTGCGATCAAAACCCATCTCAAGCGAGTCATCCAGACATATGTCAACCTCAAACCTATAGGTTCCTTTCAACTATAAATTCCTCAAAGGTTGTCAATCTAGCTAGAAATCAAAATAAGAAATGTATAATTCATAAGTTCAAAAGAATAAATAAGAAAAATCAATCACTTTCAAACATGACTTTAAGAGAAACTAATAATATACAAGGTCCCATGTGTGAATCAGTTAGATTTCTAACAAATCTTTGCAGCAGTAAAGTTGTAAGTGGATACTCCCTTCACCTATAACTATCCAAAACCACATCCCCCTCGTGGGTGGAGGTTGGGGTGGGGTTTACTAGTGGGACTCAATTAACCTCTTCAATTAACTGTGCAGAATGTGGAGTTGGGGCACAAGAAGCCCCATTTCAATTGAACACTAAATTACAATAAACAGACGCTACTACTTATTCATTTTTGCGCAAGAAGGTCCATTTCGATAACTAATAAGACTGGAAGGAATTTACAAACAGCAAGAACTGTTACCATTGATGGAAAAGAAATGTCCTTTTAAGCCAATATAATAATCTTGAAAACATATGTAACCTCAAGAATGAGAATGAGGTAAAGCTTCAAGAACTGCTAGTTGAAATTATAATCAGCCAAAATCAGATGAATCCTGAACTTCCATTTTGAATTTTCACACTCGTCAATGGAAGTTAGTGCATCTAGCACTCACCCCAATTCCTTGGATTACAAATTCAGAAAACAAAAATGAAACCGACACACAATCACTTATTCTAAGCCGATCCACACAATCACTGTTACTACAATAGAAACTATCACAAAAAGCAAAAAAAATCAATCAAATTACAGCAAAGTTTAACACCGATTCCCAAGGGCTATAGATCGACTCCTGTTGACCCGATGAATCATTCACAAAAATCAAATCCATTATACTCTTGAATGCTTTAAAACACCAATGAAGAAAAAAAATTGAAATTTGTCCAGAGAAAATAACACCAAAGAAATACCTAGATTTGATGATGGTATGGAGCAGAAAATCGGAGACGAGGAATCTTCAAAATCGCACTTGATTCAGCCCTCTACTCCGCTGACGACGTCGAGAAGCTTGTGGCAGCTCTCGGGAACGAAGCAAACCATAGAGAATTCGGGAAGGAAGAGCAAATCCTAGAGAAAATGGGTGTGGAATGTCTCTTTCGGGAGAGAAAGAGGAAGGTGTTTTTCATTTGGGCGTGTTTTCAGCGTTTTCAAATTTTCCTGTGTTTTGCCTGAAAAACAGCCAAAACGACCTTTTTGCCATTTTCTATTTTCTTCACAATTTTTTTTGTTTTTCAAAACGCATTTTCAAAAACGGGGAAGAGAACACGTTTTCATCATTTTCAAAAATTGAAAACAGAAAACGGCCCGAAAACGATAAAGAGAACAGGCCCTAATTATTCGAAGGTCTAAACGAAAGAATTTGGCTAAAATCTGGTGATCCCGGGTCTGTGCTCTGAGTCCAATTTCTAGGGTCGTTTCCAATCAACCAACCAAATTTCGGCACATTCCGACATCGTCGCGACAAATGACGAAATTTCCCCTGGTGCTGTTTTTCTTAGTTAATTTTCTGTCCAACACTTCTTAAACCTGACATAAGTAAAACGGAAATTAATTATTCGGAGGCCAAAAGGAAGGAATTTGGCTAAAATCCCGTGATCCCGGGTCTGTGCCCCGACTCCAATTTTTGGGGCCGTTTCCAATCAACCTGCCAAATTCCCACCCATTCCGACACCATCGCAACAAATGACGAAATTATCCCTAGTGTGGTTTTGCATTGTTAATTTTCTGTCCAACACATCTTCAACCTAACATAATTAATACGAAAATTAATTATTCGGAGGCCTAAACGAAGGAGCTTGGCTAAAATCCTGTGATCCCAGGTCTGTGTCCCGAGTCCAATCTCTGGGGCCGTTTCCCATGAACCTGCCAAATTTCATCCCATTCCAACACCGTCGCAACAAATGACGAAATTACCCTGGTGCGATTTTTCTTTGTTAATTTTCTGTCCAACACATCTTCAACCTGATATATTTAATATGGAAATTAATTATTCGGAGGCCAAAACGAAGGAATTTGGCTAAAATCCTGTGATCTTGGGTCTGTGTCCCAAGTCCAATTTCTTGGGCCACTGCCAATGAACCTACCAAATTTCGGCCCATTCTGACACCGTCGCAACAAATAATGAAATTGCCCCTGGTGAGGTTTTTCTTTGTTAATTTTATGTCCAACACTTCTTCAGCCTAACATAATTAATACAGAGATTAGTTATTTGGAGGCCTAAACGAAGGAATTTGGCTAAAATCTCTTGATCCCGAGTCTGTGCCCCGATTCCAATTTCTAGGGCCGTTTCCAATCAACCTGCCAAATTTCGGCCCATTCCAACAACGTCGCGACAAATTACGAAATTGCCCCTGGTGCGATTTTTCTTTGTTAATTTTCTGCCCAACACATCTTCAACCTGACATAATTAATACGGAAATTAATTATTTGGAGGCCTAAACGAAGGAATTTGGCTAAAATCCCGTGATCCCAGGTCTATGTCCCGAGTCCAATTTCTGGGGCCATTTCCCATCAACCTGGCAAATTTTGTCCCATTCCAACACCGTCGTGAGAAATGATGAAATTGCCCCTGGTGTGGTTTTTCTTTGTTAATTTTCTATCCAACACATCTTCAACCTGATATATTTAATACGAAAATTAATTATTCGGAGGCCTAAATGAAGGAATTTGGCTAAAATCCCGTGATCTCGAGTTTGTGTCCCGAGTCCAATTTCTCAAGCCGTTACTGATGAACCTGCCAAATTTCGGCCCATTCCGACACCGTCGTGACAAATGACGAAATTGCCTCTGGTACGGTTTTTCTTTCTTAATTTTCTATCCAATACTTCTTCAACCTGACATAATTAATAAGGAAATTAGTTATTCGGAGGCCTAAACGAAAGAATTTGGTTAAAATCCCGTGATCCCAGGTCTGTGCCCCAAATCCAATTTCTGGGGCCGTTTCCAAACAACCTGCCAAATTTCGGCCCGTTCCGACATCGTCGCGACGAATGACAAAATTGCCCCTGGTACGATTTTGCGTTGTTAATTTTCTGTCCAACACTACTTTAACCTGACATAATTAATAAGAAAATTAATTATTCGGAGGCCTAAACAAAGGAATTTGGCTAAAATCCCGTGATTCCGAGTTTGTGCCCCGAGTCCAATTTCTTGGGGCATTTCCAATGAAGCAGCCAAATTTCGGTCCATTCCGACACCGTCTGAAAAATGATGAAATTGCCCCTGGTGCAATTTTTCTTTCTTAATTTTATGTCCAACACTTCTTCAACCTGACATAATTAATACGAAAATTAATTATTCGGAGGTCTAAACGAAGGAATTTTGCTAACATCCCGTGATCCTGGGTCTGTGCCTCGACTCCAATTTCTGGGGCCACTTCCAATCAACCTACCAAATTTTGGCCCATTCCGACACCGTCGCGACAATGACGAAATTGCCCATGGTGCGGTTTTTTTTTAATTTTCTGTCCAACACTCCTTCAACCTGACACAATTAAAATGGAAATTAATTATTCAGAGGCCTAAACGAAGGAATTGGGCTAAAATCCCGTGATCCCAGGTCTGTGTCCTGACTCCAATTTCTGGGGCCGTATCCAATTAACATGCCAAATTTCGGCCCATTCCGACACCGACGCGACAAATGATGAAATTGCCCCTGGTGCGGCTTTTCTTTGTTAATTTTCTGTCCAACACAACTTCAACCTGACATAATTAATACGGAAATAAATTATTCAGAGGCCTAATCGAAGGAATTTGGCTAAAATCCCGTGATCCCGGGTCTGTACCCCGACTCCAATTTCTGGGGCCACTTCCAATGAACCCGCCAAATTTCGGGCCATTCTGACATCGTCGCGACAAATGACGAAATTGCCCATGGTGCATTATTTTTTTTAATTTTCTGTCCAACACTCCTTCAACCTGACACAATTAAAATGGAAATTAATTATTCAGAGGCCTAAACGAAGGAATTGGGCTAAAATCCTGCGATCCCGGGTCTGTGCCCTGACTCCAATTTCTGGGGCCGTATCCAATTAACATGCCAAATTTCGGCCCATTCCGACACCGACGCGACAAACGATGATATTGCCCCTGGTGCGGCTTTTCTTTGTTAATTTTTTGTCCAACACATCTTCAACCTGACATAATTAATACGAAAATTAATTATTCGGAGGCCTAATCGAAGGAATTTGGCTAAAATCCCGTGATCCTGGGTATGTGCGCCGGGTCCAATTTCTCGGGTCGTTTCCAATCAACCTGCCAAATTTCAGCCCATTCTGACACCGTCGCGACAAATGACGAAATTGCCCATCGTACGGCTTTTCTTTGTTAAATTTCTGTCCTACACATCTTCGACCTGACATAATTAATACGAAAATTAATTATTCGGAGGCCTAAACGAAGGAATTTGGCTAAAATCCCGTGATCCCGGGTTTGTACCCCGATTCCAATTTCTGGGGTCGTTTCCAATCAACTCGCCAAATTTCGACCCATTTCGAAAACATCGCGACAAATGACGAAATTGCCCCTGGTGCGGCTTTTCTTTGTTATTTTTCTGTCCAACACATCTTCAACCTAACATAATTAATACGAAAATTAATTATTCGGAGGCCTAAACGAAGGAATTTGGCTAAAATCCCGTGATCCCGGGCCTGTGCCCCAAGTCCAGTTTCTCGGCCCGTTTCCAATCAACCTGCCAAATTTCGGCCCATTCCGACACCGTCGTTACAAATGATGAAATTACCCCTGGTGCGGCTTTGGGTTGTTAATTTTCTATCCAACCATCCTCAACTTGACATAATTAATACAGAAATTAATTATTCGAAGGCCTAAACGAAGGAATTTGGCTAAAATCCCATGATCCCGGGACTGTGCCTCGAGTCCAATTTCTGGGGTGGTTTCTAATCAACCTGCCAAATTTTGGCCCATTCCGATACCGGCGCGACAAATGACGAAATTGCCCCTGGTACGGCTTTTCATTATTAATTTTCTTTCCAACACATCTTCAACCTGACATAATTAATACGGAAATTAAAGGCCTAATCGAAGGAATTTGGCTAAAATCATGTCATCCCGGGTCTGTGCCTCAAGTCCAATTTCTCTGGCTGCTTCCAAACAACCTGCCAAATTTTGGCCCATTCTAGCAACGTCGCGACAAATGACGAAATTGCCACTGGTGCGGCTTTTCTTTCTTAATTTTCTTTCCAACACTTATTCAACCTATCATAATTAATACGGAAATTAATTATTCGAAGGCCTAAACGAAGAAATTTGGATAAAATCCCGTGATCACAGGTCTGTGCCCCAACTCAAATTTCTGGGCATGTTTCCAATCAACCTGCCAAATTTAACCCATTTCGACACCATCGTGGCAAATGACAAAATTGCCCCTGGTGTGGCTGTTCTTTGATTTTTTTCAGTCCAACACATCTTCAACCTGAAATAATTAATACGAAAATTAATTATTTGGAGGCCTAAACGAAGGAATTTGGACAAAATCCTGTGATCACGGGTCTGTGCCCTAAGTCCAATTTCTCGGCCCGTTTCCAATCAACCTGCTAAATTTCGGCCCATTCCGACACCGTCTGACAAATGATGAAATTGCCCCTGGTGCGGTTTTTCTTTCTTGATTTTATGTCCAACACTTCTTCAACCTGACATAATTAATACAGAAATTAATTATTCGGAGCTCTAAAGGAAGGAATTTGGCTAACATCCCGTGATCCCGGGTCTGTGCCCCAACTCCAATTTCTGGGGCCACTTCCAATCAACCCACCAAATTTCGGCCCATTCCGACACCGTCGCGACAAATGACGAAATTGCCCACGGTGTGATTTTTTTAATTTTCTGTCCAACACTCCTTCAACCTGACACAATTAAAATGGAAATTAATTATTCAGAGGCCTAAACGAAGGTATTGGGCAAAAATCCCGTGATCCCGGGTCTGTGCGCTGACTCCAATTTCTGGGGCTGTATCCAATTAACCTGCCAAATTTCGGTCCATTTCGACACTGATGCGACAAATGATGAAATTGCCCCTAGTGCAGCTTTTCTTTGTTAATTTTCTATCCAACACATCTTCAACCTGACATAATTAATACGGAAATTAATTATTCGGAGGCCTAATCGAAGGAATTTGGCTAAAATCCCGTGATCCCGGGTCTGTGCCTCGAGTCCAA